GGCGGGGCCGCTGTAGCAGGGCGGCGGGGCCGCGTAGCAGAGGGCGGCGGGGCCGCGTGAGCAGGGCAGCGGGGCCGCGAAGCAGAGGGCGGCTGGGCCGCGCGAGCAGGGCGGCGGGGCCGCGAAGGAAGGGCGGCGGGGCCGCGTTAGTAGGGCGGCGGGGCCGCGAAGGGAGGGCGGCGGGGCCGCAAGGGGCGACACGGAGGGTCGCTAAAAAAAAGGAAAACGCGCCTCGGGGCGCGCTTCGGTGGGCCCTAGAAGCAGTCCCTAGGAGGGGACCTGCTCTGATTCCATGTGGAAATGAGGAACGAGAATGGGTGAACTATGAAATGAAGTGAGTACAAATAGGAAACCCTAATTGGGTTGTACCCCCTATGGGATACCCCACTATAGCCTACACAACAGCATAAGCTATATAATGTTCTGACATGCTACTGCAGCTGCGACTGCGGCTCCTGCTGCTGCTATTGGATCAGTGCCAACGATGTGGGGCCACAGTTTCCCTAAAGTCTGAACCTCTCATGGCGATACTCGAAGGGGGCGGGGCTTGCGAATAGACATGATCGCCGACTGAAAACGACATCTCGTGGCACATATGAATGAATGTGAGATGCTGATGGAAGTTGTTTGCACAAAGAATTATAGCTATCAGGTCGACACGAATGGGGACATTCGGGTGCTGACCGTGTCAGAATTCCAGCCACTAACCACTGGGATAAAATGGCTTGTTTGTGCAACGGGTGGGTGCGCCCATAACCTCCAAGGCCAACGTGCCTGTAGCCCTTCCCTAGGATCAATCAGGGATCTCTAGTGAACCTCTGGCACCCCCCCGCACTGGAATGCCCTAGGTGCAACACTAGGATTCAAACCCAAGATCATCGCTGTGATACCATGTCAGAATTCCAGCCACTAACCACTGGGATAAAAGGGCTTGTTTGTGTAGCGGGTGAGTGCACCCATAATCCCCAGGCAACGTGCCTGTAACCATTCCCTAGGATCAATCGGGGATCTCCAATGGACATTTGACAAACCGTACAATGCAAAAAATGGTGATATGCTTGTGGACAAATGATAAGTGTTGTCGAACTCTTCCATGCTCAGTTGATTATCCCAAGAGGCAACAACGTGCATCTGCTGCAAAGATTATACTCTAAGGGCGTGTGCACTAGCGTTCGAAAATTATCAACTTTTGAAAGTATCCAGTCTTCGCTATTATCGCGATTACCTTCGCGAGGACACTTCAGGGCAGTTAATACTTCAAGTTTGACGTGTTCGGATTTTTAATTTCCGCCAACGTTCTAGCATCACTCGGCAGTGCAGCTTAGGCTCCAACTTGTACAATGTTACTACGCTCACTATCTGATTTCGTATATACCCAATCAGATTTTGTGCGGCTATGGCGACACTACCGAAACGAGGTGCAAGACGACTTGTTCGAACCTTGACGTGCGTTACTTTTGAATGCCCGAGCTATTTGTACAAGAATAGTGGCAAAATTCAGAGTTTGAATATCCGATATTCATTTAACCATAGTGACGATAGCTTGATTTGATTTTTGCCATATCCAGTGAAAGTGATTGCGCCTTAATGTCTGGTTCTCGTGCTCAGTCTGTCTATCCGTCTCTGAAAGGGTACACCGCCGATGTGGTTAAGCCTGCTCCAAACAGTGGAAAAAAACGCTTCCAGAACTTTGAGGTGAATCACTGGAGAGTAACGCACTACACGTACACATCCAGTAGTCGGCCTGATTAGCCATATTCTCAGTCACTCTACGGTTTTTGTATGTACATGATTACAATCGCAGAATAATATCCGTGCCTTCAATAACGAAAATCTTCCCCTGCTTCCATTTCTCCTGGCCGCTATTCCCGCCACGACGCCAGGCAGGCATGACTGCGAGCCCTGCGATGCGGTAGAATGGGCACAATCGCTCATGTTTCCGTTCGCCGCAAGTGACGCATATGCGCTGCGTTTCTTTGCTGCCCAGGCTCGGGGGTCTTGCGCATATAGTTCCCACCCTCGCGTGCTCCAATATGATAGGCGCGCCTCCGCCGAAAATAGCTCAGCGGAATCAGGTCGACGCCCGAGGGAGCTCGCTGCCCGCGGGCAAAATAAATAAACCCCAGACGGGCATGCATCCGGTCAGGGAGCCTCAACCCTAAATGCCTGGAGGCATGGTGTTTAGGGTTGAGGCTCCCTCGGATGGCATGCCATCCGATGGGGGTTTAGTTTTTTTGCTGCCCGGGGCAGCAGGTCGACAGGTCGACACAGGTCGACAGGCTTGTCGACCTGATTCCGCTGACATCTTCCCTTACGATCAGCTCGTCTTGGTTCTCGCGTTTTCGGCAAGGATAGTTCCTCTTAGTGCTCGCACTGCGAGCATTGCCGCTCACGAGATTCGATTGTTCGCCACCATCAGTCTAGTCCGCCATGGCTCGTGACAGAATCACACGCCAACGCAACATTTCTCTCCTCGTCGCCGCATCGCTGGTCCTTGGGATAATCTGCAGCCCCGCGGCTATCGCGGCGTCGGAGCTGGAAGATGCCATCAACAAGGCGAACGCGGTAAGGATGGATGGATTCACACCGAGAGTACCGCGAGATTCACACCGAGAGTACCGCGAGATTCACACCGAGAGTACCGCGAGATTCACACCGAGAGTACCGCGAGATTCGCACCGAGAGTACCGCGAGATTCACACCCGACAGTACAAGGCGAACGCGGTACGGATGGATAGATTCACAATGAGAGTACCGCGACACCGGTAGAGTATCATCGCGACTATCGCGGCGTCAGAACTGTGGAGGATGCCGTCAGCGAGGCGAACCAGGTATACATCACATCATCCCATCATCGCATCGTCTGGTGTCGGTAGTTTCACAGGTGTGCTTTTTCGTTGACAGGTATCCGGGCGCCAGAAATTTGCGTTTGCGATTATTTTACATTGATCGCATCGCATCGATAGTAGCTATAGTCCGCAATCATATCCATCTGTTGGTGTTCTGCCACGCCCTCATTGCCAAATATGATGGCGTCACAGCCAGAGACGCTATCGAGTTGGAACCTAATACTACTACTACCGCGTCGGCATACGGCGTGCGAGCTGAAACGTCAGCAATGCGATCGCGCGTGTTCCATCTCAACTACGGGAGTTCGGAGCTCCGCAGTCTCGCCGGCTTCGCCGAAGCCGCGGCGCGAGATGAGCCCGAATCGCTTAACGAGCCTAACAAGGGAGCTGAGTCCGAATCGCGGAACGAGCCTAACAAGGGAGCTGAGTCCGAATCGCGTAACGACCCTAACAAGTGAGCTGAGTCCGAATCGCGTAATTATCCTAACAAGGGAGCTGAGCCCGAATCGCGGAACGAGCCTATCGAGGGAGCTGAGCCCGAATCGCGGAACGGGCCTTACAAGGGAGCTGAGTCCGAATCGCGTAACGATCCTATAGAGGGAGCTGAGCCCGAATCGCGTGACGAGCCTAACAAGGGAGCTGAGCCCGACTCACCTCCAACGGAGGTTACCTCGAGGAGCTAGCCTCAGCCAGGACAGGCTTCTCAATCCGAAGCCTTGCAAGAGATTTTCCAGTTTTGAGACGTCTCAAAACTCGTCGCAATGAAGTGGACTCCACGAAGCTTCGGACTCGCTACTATTAGCGTGTTGCTGATGTGTCGCGAGGCAAAGGCAGACGAGTCGCCTTTGGAGGTAGTTATCGACGAATGATGGCGAGGTCGATCTTACTCATGATATCTAGAGTCTAAATATGATGTGCTTTTTACGCGGTTTCCCTGCAAGCTTGTTTTTTTTTTTTTTTTTTGAACACTTGTGGGTGATACCAGCCAGACAGTTTCCATTGGACCATTTTGCCCACTCTCGGAATGTGCGCGTTTGTGTATGTGCTTGAATGTGTTGCATCCACGTGGCGTGAATACAGGGAGGAGCAACCGCGTCTCCCACAGTGCTCGATCTCACATCCAACGTGCAGCTCAGGGCGTAAGTTCCCCTCCAAACCACGTCTGCACACGTCACATCTTGCCACGTGTGCACTTGCCACGTCATGCCACCTGAGGCCACGAGAGCCGGTTAGTTTGGTACCGACCCAACTTGCCACCTCGTCACACCCTGCCCTATCCGGCTGCATTACTCCTTGATTTCGAGCCCACTCTCTTCTTTCTTGAATCGATTCAACCCTCGTTCCTACCCCTCTACCCTCTTGCTCTTCCCAGTCCCTTTCCTCCCTCACAACTCCCCCTGCCCACTCCCTCCTCTTCTCCCACCAACCCCTACACACCTCCCCCCTACCCCCTTCCCCATTCCCCCTTCTTCCTGCTCTCCTTCCCGCAGCCCCCTCCCCGCACTCTCAGGCGCGGCCAAGCTGACCATCACGGGCAAATGTACCACCTCCAGGTTGGTAACAGGGTTACCTGGTGGGTGGTGGGGTTACCTGGTGGGTGGTGGGGTTACCTGGTGGGTGGTGGGGTTACCTGGTGGGCGGTGGGGTTACCTGGTGGGCGGTGGGGTTACCTGGTGGGCGGTGGGGTTACCTGGTGGGCGGTGGGGTTACCTGGTGGGCGGTGGGGTTACCTGGTGGGCGGTGGGGTTACCTGGTGGGCGGTGGGGTTACCTGGTGGGCGGTGGGGTTACCTGGTGGGCGGTGGGGTTACCTGGTGGGCGGTGGGGTTACCTGGTGGGCGGTGGGGTTACCAAGTGGGAGGTAGGGTTACCAGGTGGGTGATAGGATCGTCACCTTCGAGATCATAAAGGCCACCACTACCATAGTTGCAACCACCATTGCCATCGGCTTTTTCCTTCTCCTCTGTCCTCGCTCCTTCTCCCCCCTGCTCTCTCCTCTCCTCTTCTCTCTCTTCTCTCCTTCTCTCCTTCTATCTCGACCCATACTCGCTTACTCTTTTCGGCCTCTCTCCCCAACACCAGGTGCATCATCACGGGGGATGGCACCTTCCCCATATTCACCTCCCCCTCGTCCAGCCCCTCCGGCGGGTAGTTGACTCTGGTCAACCTCAGCTTCCAGCTGGGGAGAGGCGTCTTTTACAAGGTGCTGACGGCTATCAACGCGAGACTTTGCGATTTCTCTTCAAACACGGAGCCTAACTATGGAGGAGGGGTGCTCAGGTAGGGAAGTTACTACCCACACCATGCCATGCCACACCACACCACACCACACCACACCACACCACACCACACACTCACATGGTTGCGGCACTCTCCATACCCATTGCACTCGCCATCGCTTCTTTCTCACCCTTCCTTCCCCCCCCTTCAATCTCTCCCCTTTGATTCCCCCCCAACCCACCAGTGAATCCTTCCCTGCCACATCCAGTCCTCAAAGCCTCCCAACCCGCCTCTTCCCTCCCCCTCCCTCCCTCCCAATTTTCTCTCCCAACCAATCCCCTCTTCCTTCCCTCCCTCCCCTTTTTACTCTCCCCCCAACCTACCAGTGAATCCTTCCCTGCCACCGCCGCCCCTGGAAGCCTCCCAACGCGCCTCTTCACGAGCTGCACCTTTGTTCGCAACACAGCGCTCAGCCTGGGGGGTGGCGCTGTCAGTATCAATGCCGGCAAGAGCACGGGCCAAGTGCCGGATCTGCGCTTTGTGAGCTGCTCCTTCCAGAACAACAGCGCGTACACAAACCTGGGGGGGGCGATTTCGGTGACCGGGACAGGCTGGGTGCGGTTCGAGAGATGTTCTTTTGCTGGGAATACTGCTGGTGTGTGTGTGTGTGTGTGTGTGTGTGTGTGTGTGTATGTGTGTGTGTGCATGCGTGCGTGCGTGCGTGTGTGTGTGTGTGCGTGTGTGTGCGTGCGTGCGTGCGTGCGTGCGTGCGTGCGTGCATGCGTGCGTGCGTGCGTGCATGCGTGCGTGCGTGGGTGCATGCGTGCGTGCGTGCGTGCGTGCGTGCGTGCGTGCGTGCGTGCGTGCATGCGTGCGTGCGAGCGTGCATGCGTGCGTGCGTGCGTGCGTGCCTGGTGGGGGGTAGGGATGAGTGCGTGTGTCTGGGTTATGGTGGCCCTTGCATCAACTCGGAAACAGCTGTGATTCAAATGAGTTCTGTAGGTGGTCCTGTCGTGTGTTTTGAGAATTCTAAAAAAACAGTCAAGTGTGTTCTGTAGGTAGTAGAACTGTCGTGTGCGGATTTTGGTAGGTCCAGAGTCTACCCAGTAGTAGCATCCACCATCCATCCACATGGCTCCTTTTCATCATCCAGACACATCACACGGAAGCAGCTCCTGAAAAAACTCCGCTTCTGTACAAGACCTCTTCAGAAACAACACACCCCTTCTCGCCAAACTCACCCACCCTCCTTCGTCTTCCCCTCCACCCACTCACCCTGTTTATTCTTCCGACACCTCCCTCTCTTTCTCCCAAGCCACCTTCAAGAACAACAAGGCGTTCGGCAGCTACCCTGCCAGCCCCTATCTCAAGGCTGGTTACGGCGGCACAGTCTACGCCATCTCAACCCAACCGGCACAGGTGATGCCTCTTCGCTTCTGCTCATCCTCGTCTTCATGTATTTTGAGTCGACTCAAAACACAGTCTACGCCATCTCAACCCAATCGTCGCAGGCCATGGCTCTTCGCTTCTGCTCGTCATCGTTTTCAAGCAGCGGCGGCGTGTATGAGGACGGGCCCACGCTGGCCGTGCAGAATATGCCGGACGTGCAATCCCGTGGGGAGGTGGCGTTGTGCGGCTGGTCGGGGCCGGCAGGGTTGGTAGTGCCCACGAGCGGATGGTCGGTGCTGTCCAACTGCCCAAACAGGTGAGGAAAAGTGCAAAGTGAATAGTGCAAGCAGGCCAGCCAGGTGAATGGTGTTTTGAGTCAACTCAAAACACGGCTAGGCGGGGCCGGCAGGGGTGATAGTGCCCACGAGCGGATGGTCGGTGCTGTCCAACTGCCCAAACAGGTGAGGAAAAGTGCCAACCAGCCAACTCAAAACACTGTCCAATTGCCCAAACAGGTGAGAAGGTAAGCAAGCCAGGTGAATGGGAGCAGGCTGGGTGAGGAAAATCGGGTGAATGGGAGCAGGCTGGGTGAGGAAAATCGGGTGAATGGGAGCAGGATGGGTGGGGAAAAGTGGATGAATGGGATTGCCGTGGGAGCAGCGTGAGCAGGCCGGCAGAGTCGATGGTGCCCATGCAAGGGTGGTAGGTGCAGTCGAAGTGCTCTGCCTGGTGAGGGAACAGGTCAGTTGGGAAAACGGGGAACAGTGGGTGAGGAGGTGGGGTGGGAGTGCTGTGGGAGCGATGGGAGCAGTGTGCGGGCTGGCTGGGTTGGTGGTGCCGAGAGTGGGCGGCGGGCGCATGGGAAGCCAGTGGGTGGCGGGCGCATGGGAAGCCAGTGCACAACCAGGCGAGGGGGAAGGCCAGCTGGGTAACTAGCAAAGAATGGGTCCCAAGGGGGGTTCTGAGACGTCTCAATCCACCCTTCTTTCACAAAGAATGGGTGACAAGGGGGAGTGGTGGGGTGAGGAGTGAAGGGGTAGTGCTGAGGAGCAGGAGAGCAGACTGGCTGGATCAGTGGTGCTGAAGAGCGGGTGGCATGCGGGGAGCCAATGCGATGCACAGGCAGGTGAGGGAGGGGTGATAAGTAAGGGGGGATTACTGTAGAGAAGTGGGAGCAAGCCGGCTGGATCAGTGGTGCTGAAGAGCAGGTGGCGGGTGGGGAGCCATTGCGAGTGTGTGATAAGTCGATAAATGAGTCGACTCAAAAATCGACGTATGACACACGGCTTATATGAGGAGCAAGAGATCAGGCCGGCTGGATGAGTGGTGCAGAAGAGTGGGTGGCGGGTGGGGAGCCAATGCAGTGCTAGCCGAGGGACTGTGGGTGGGCGAGGGAGGGGAGAGCGTTGGTAAAAGACTGGAGGGAGAGTCAGGAGCAAATGCAGTGGCAGGTGAGAGCCTGTGTGTACTTGGGGGACGTGTAAGAAGAGGACGGGCGGCATGACAAGCCTATAGGAGAACCCTGTGTGCAGTGGGAGCACGTCTGTGGTGTCGGTGATGCGCAACAACAGAAACTGAGATGTTGGTGCAGACAGGAAGTCAAGTGAGTCAGGCGTAGAAATGATGACATAGAACACGATGACGTGGGTCTGAGTGAGACGGACTGCAGTATAAACCTGCCTCTCCCCTCTCCCACCTGCTCTATCGCGTCTCTCCCTCCCTTTCTCCATCCTTGCAGCACCTGTTTGCCTTGAACGTTATGCTTCACGGGAGTCAGCTCCTGGCTTCTCGGCTGGCTCCGGGCAGCTTGTACATAAAAACAACACCAACAAGCGTGTGTGATATGACCATATGACATAGCATCCTCGTTGGCAACATCAAAGATTTATCCAACATGCGAACGAAGGTCCTTTTTGGAAAACGGCGTATCCAGTGTGTGCTGGCGATTTGCACGATGGTGTTTCACTCTCTGACCTAATAAATGGCATTCATGTATTCTTTTCAGCAACACCATGTGCTCACACACACAGAAAGGTCGGGCCCTGCCCTGCATAGTGTGCTTACAGTTCATAAGCGGTAATACGATGCTGTGCCCGATACAGCGGTTTGTTCACTTCGCCGCTTTAACCCGCTGCTCATCAGCCTGTACAGTGATACATGAACCGAAATCAAAACCAGCTTGACTTGCCCTAAGACAGGCCTTGTTCCAACTGTCACACCTATTTTGTTCCAACCCCAAGGGACTGCAATGTATGTGTGGTCCTATACAGGGCTGATTTTATCAGGGTAATTACCCTGATTTCAGGGTGATTACAGGCTTCTGACTTGGTGGTCCCTGCAAACTCAGGTTTTGTATTTTGTGAACTCTGATCCAATCAGAGAAGCTACTTAACGGACTCTGAATTCTTGTAACTAGGCTCAGAGTAGTGTAGTTGCGGACTCTGTCTATGCAGGGTATGCGTTCCGTGGACCCTGAATGCGAGGGTATCGGGACGAAGTTTCCTAGAAGCTTCGTTTCGATAACCCCCTTGTGCGTAATCATTTCTTCGAGTGGCCCCATGTGAGGTACCCCCTTCACGCGCCCGTGAGTGACGTAATACCGACAAAGGAAAACACTGACGTGCTGTACATCACAGCTGGCAACAGCGCCAACGCAGCCAAATCAATGATACGGTGCTGCCACGCGCACCGCAGAGTGCACAGCATGTGTCTGCCATTGGCCAGAATGGCCTGTTGACAGCATGCGGTGGCAGCCAAGGAGTCCGTGAATGAATTCGGCCTTGAATGCAACGACGAATTCATCGTCGAATGTTGCCATCAAGTCCGTGGAATCGCGGCGCGGTGGTTTCGTGCTCCCGCCATCTCCAACCTTCCCTTCCCTCCCCCTACCAACAGCCAACGTTCCTTTGTTCACTGGTGTTTTCTTTCCATTCCGTGCATTCATTGTCTCATTTTCCTCTCGTTCAGTTTAGCCACCAATGGAGGCCATGCCGGCCGACGAAGCTGCTCCGGACACTGGCCCCGACGAGCCGCCTGTAACAGCGAAACCAACAGCGCCGTCCCAGCCGGAGAAAGCTTCGGATGCTCCCCGCTCTTGGCTAGATTTTCTTAGAGCTACGGCTGCTCCCGTCACACCTGAACCGCCTAGGTCTACCGTTCACGACTCTGCCCCTGTAGTAACCCCTACTCCTACTGCTTCTCCTATTCCCGTCCCGTTCACTCTCCCCCCGGCTGTTGCTGGCTGCAGCAAAGATCCTCCACCGCCCTCGCCCAGTCCTACTCCAAGCACGGTGCGGGTGTCCCTTGGCCCGCCGTCGGCTACTTCCGCTCCAAAGCGTGCGCGATCTGGTAAGTGGGCGCAGAGTACTCTGCTGGTGGGAGGCCGCCGTATTCCACCGCCGGAAAAGCCCGATGAGCCTGCACAGAAAGAAGCTGAGCTGCCGGAAGAAGGTGACATCCCGGTGCGCGCGGATACCGGCTCGCCGGCACTCACCAAGACGCAGCTGCGAGAGCAGATGTACCTGGAGGCGAGTATTAATTACGAGACGAAGTGGGCGGGATACTTTTCTTGGCTTGTGTTTGGGAAAACCAAGGACGGTTTCCCGTACGTGAAGTGCAGCATCTGCATGTCGTACGGTAAGGGGAACACGAGGTACGCCATGCAGGGAGACGACGGAGGCCGTGACTTGCAGACGCAGTCGTTCCGGGCGCACGAGCATACGGACGCACACATGGCGGCGGTGGACCGCCAGATGAAGATTGCGGCGGGAATCCGCGAGGGGCAGCAGGTGATTTCGGACTTCATCAACTCCGACGTCGAGGGCCGCCGCGCGATACGGCTGATGCGGTCGACTCAGTTCCTGTGCCAGTGCGACGCGCCGATTAGCATGTTTCCTAAGCTGATGCGGCATCTTGCGGAGCAGGACACGCCAGACATTCCCCGGCAGTCGTACGGCGTTTATCTCACGCGGTAAGTGACGGTTCAAATTGATTGCAAATTTAAACATGCACGTCAAACAACTTGCTTGACTATCGTGTACTGATAATTTCTATGTCCTTTGTTGCAGCTACGGCTTCCAGCAGATGGTCCACAGCATGAGCACTTACCTCACCCGGGTGCAGATGGACCACGTCCTGGCATCACCGTTCCTGGGCATCCAGTGCGACGAGAGCACTGACCGCACGCGAGGGAAACACATGATTGTGTACCTTACATTTCTGAAGAACCGCCAAGTTGCATGCGAGTTTTCCACTTTGCTGACGGTCGAGCGGTGTGATGCAGGGTCCTTGTTTGAGGTGCTTCTGAACCATCTTCGCTCCGCTGCCGTCGATGTGTCCAAGATCGTCGGCATCAGCACGGACGGGGCGTCGGTCATGACCGGGAGAGAGAACGGATTGGTGGCGCGTCTTCGTGAACACGTCCCTCATCTGTTCTCATGCCACTGCATCGCCCATCGGTATGTGAGTTGGTCTGTATTGTAGCATGTTATCTACGCTGATTGGTTTACTAACAAACCATAATACTTGTTCCCTGCTTTTCACAGTGAGGCGTTGGCTGTGAAGGACGCCGCTGACTCAAACCCGGATCTCGGCATGGTCGACAAGGTGGTGCGCACTGTGGCGACTCTGCTCGGAAACTCCAGCGTGTGGAGTCAGCGGTTCAAGTACCTGCAGCGTGTGATTTACAAGACCAACCTGGAAGTCCAAGGCATCCACACGGTGCGGTGGCTGTCTCGAGGAGATGCGGTGGCCAGGCTGTGCAAGGTCCTCGGCGCTTGCATCGTGCTGCTCTGGGAGCACAATCACAAGGCGTACGAGATTGTCACCTGCTACAAGTTTCAGTTCTGCTTGTTTTTCTTGGCCGACATCTTGGCGGACATGAACGACCTCAACCGCTGCTTCCAGAGACGAGAGGTGAGGTCGCATGTTTGTATGATGTTGCTACGTGAGGTTCGTAACTGCACTGTTGCTCATCCTTCTCCCTCTTGTCTACCCCTGCTCTGACACAACTGGACGTGACTGAGATTGCGAAGACGATCGAGTCCACAACGAGTGACCTGACGGAGCGCTACTTGACGCCAGAGAAAGCTTTCGGGGGCGAAGGGAAGAGCTGGCTGGTGAACTTCCTCAAAGTCCACAAGGAGGGTGGAGGCAAGCAGGTCCAGGTGCGCGGCGTGGACGGTGCTGGACGCCCGATCAACCACCTGTACACCATGCATGAGCGGAAGCTGAAGGGGCACAAACACGGAAGCACCTACGCAGACTGCGTGAAGCTGTGCCGCAAATTCGCCCGTGACTGCGTGGACAACCTCAACAACCGACTGGATGACCTTGGGAAGCTGGGGCCGACGAAGCTGTTCCGGGCGGGGAAGTGGCCGAAGATCAAGGCCCAGCGAGAGAAGAAGTGTAAGGAGTGGCTGAACGGATGCAGCAGGCTGTTCCGCAACAAGCTGCCGGGATTCGACCTCAAAGCAGCAGAGAGGGAGCTTCCAACCTTCTGCGCGATCATGGAGGCACACCATGAGATGGAGAGCTTCACCCAGGGCCTGTCGAACTTCCTTGGGAGCGCAGACTCCAAGAGGTAGCCTATACTTTGCTAACATGGGTTTTACAATCTTGTTGCGCATCGCTAACTGTTTCCGTTGTGTTGTGTGTACGAATGTGCCTGGCAGGAGATGGCCCAACCTCATCCTGCTGTGGCAGGCGCTGGCTGTGCTCCCCCTCTCCACCGTGGAGTGCGAGAGGGGGTTCTCCAGGCAGAACGTCATCAAGTCCTGGGTGCGAGGAGCGCTGTGCAACGCGCGTCTGGGGGAGCTGATGCAGATATCGCTCCTCAAGTATGAGATCGAATGGCCGGAGGCACTGGAGGTGTGGAGGTCCCTGCGGAGGAGGCGCCCTGCGAAGAGCTTGAAGCTGGCTGTGGCAGAGAGGGAGAGGAGGGGGAAGCAGAAGGAGGGTGAAGATGTGGCTGCTGGAAATGCCGAGGAGAATGAGGATGAGGAGGAGGAGGAGGAGGACGATGAAGTGGAACAGGCCTTCGGCGACGATCAGGAGATCGTGGGGGAGGAGGAAGCGGAGGACAATCCATTCCTGTCGGACGATGAGGATGTGGAGGAGGTGTACTTCATAGACAAGCCCGTGCACTAGACTAGATAGAGTAGGAAAGTGCATGCAGTTGTATCATTTTGGAAAATAGTGCACTGTTAATAGCAACCCTGTTTTTGAGCTGTGAACCCTGTCCGGTCAGAGTTGGACTTCGTGTGACACTGAGCTATCAGGGTAGCTACCTTGCGAAAAATGTGCCCTCATAATAGAGGGTCAAATTTTTTACTGGAATCAGGGAGTCCTAAAACGAAACGTCAGCCCTGGTCCTATACCACTTCAGTTGACTCGTAGCGGGGCATCACATGGTTGAGAGTGATGGCTGTTGCAGGAAAGGGTTGGGGAGACGTTGGAAGGGGAGGGACGGATGAGAGAGTATTTTGTTTTGATTTGTTTCAAAAAACACCTGCGCATGCTATTTGTCAATGTGGCATGCATGCCCCATAGCGCCAAACACACTCTCATGTGCACCACCACACACACTCTCATGTGCACCACCACACACACTCTCATGTGCACCACCACACACACTCTCATGTGCACCACCACACACACTCTCATGTGCACCACCACACACACTCTCATGTGCACCACCACACACACTCTCATGTGCACCACCACACACACACTCATGTGCACCACCACACACACTCTCATGTGCACCACCACACACACTCTCATGTGCACCACCACACACACTCTCATGTGCACCACCACACACACTCTCATGTGCACCACCACACACACTCTCATGTGCACCATTCACACTCACATCTGCCACAAACACTCACCTAAGAATCCCTCTCCCTCCCTCCTCTCCCGCTCATCACTCACTCTCAAATCCCCCCAAAACTCAACTGCCCTACCTGAGAACTGAGAACCTCTGTGCAGCCACGTTGTTGTTGCTATTGTGTGTGTGTGTGTGTGTCTGTCTGTGTGTGTATGTGTGTGTGTGTGTGGGGGTATGTGTGTGTGTATGTGTGTGTGTGTGCGCGCGTGCGTGCGTGCGTGTGCATGTGTGTGTGTGTGTGTTTGTGTGTGTGTGTGTGTGAGTGTGAGCACTTCAAAAACACACAATCACATATCCTGGAAGCTGGAAAATACACAACGATTACAAGCAAAGGGCAGGAAGTTTGGCAAGTCTGCTCATGAAGAGAAGCCCAGTGATTTGCCAACATTCCTTCCCTGATGCTCACTCCAAACTAAGATACCCTACTAGAAATTCTACCTACCTCAAACATTTCCATCCCAAACACCGCTAGCCACACAACACAACTCTTCCCACAGGCCCCCAGCTACTCTGTACCCAGCAAGAATCAGAAATACATCAGAGCAGTGCAAAGCCGCCAGCAGCACCGCCATTACATCAGGCAGCAACGGAGGGCAGTTTGACGCCCATGAGCCAACGAGCTGCCCGCCCCATGCAACACCCCTCGCAGTGGCAGTGCAAAGCCGCCAGCAGCAGCAGCACTCCATCACATCAGGCAGCCACGGAGGGCAGTTTGACGCCCATGAGCCAACGAGCTGCCCGACCCACGCAACACCCCTCGCAGTGGCAGTGCAAAGCCGCCAGCAGCAGCAGCACTCCATCACATCAGGCAGCCACGGAAGGCAGTTTGACGCCCATGAGCCAACGAGCTGCCCGCCCCACCCAACACCCCTCGCAGTGGCAGTGCAAAGCCGCCAGCAGCAGCAACACTCCATCACATCAGGCAGCCACGGAAGGCAGTTTGACGCCCATGAGCCAACGAGCTGCCCGCCCCACGCAACACCCCTCGCAGTGGCAGTGCAAGCCGCCAGCAGCAGCAGCACTCCATCACATCAGGCAGCCACGGAGGGCAGTTTGACGCCCATGAGCCAACGAGCTGCCCGCCCCACGCAACACCCCTTGCAGTGGAAGTGCAAAGCCGCCAGCAGCAGCAGCACTCCATCACATCAGGCAGCCACGGAGGGCAGTTTGACGCCCATGAGCCAACGAGCACTCCATCACATCAGGCAGCCACGGAGGGCAGTTTGACGCCCATGAGCCAACGAGCTGCCCACCCCACGCAACACCCCTCGCAGTGGGAGTGCAAAGCCGCCAGCAGCAGCAGCACTCCATCACATCAGGCAGCCACGGAGGGCAGTTTGACGCCCATGAGCCAACGAGCTGCCCGCCCCACGCAACACCCCTCGCAGTGGCAGTGCAAAGCCGCCAGCAGCAGCAGCACTCCATCACATCAGGCAGCCACGGAGGGCAGTTTGACGCCCATGAGCCAACGAGCTGCCCGCCCCACGCAACACCCCTCACAGTGGAAGTGCAAAGCCGCCAGCAGCAGCAGCACTCCATCACATCAGGCAGCCACGGAAGGCAGTTTGACGCCCATGAGCCAACGAGCTGCCCGCCCCACGCAACACCCCTCGCAGTGGCAGTGCAAAGCCGCCAGCAGCTGCAGCACTCCATCACATCAGGCAGCCACGGAAGGCAGTTTGACCCCCATGAGCCAACGAGCTGCCCGCCCCACCCAACACCCCTCGCAGTGGCAGTGCAAAGCCGCCAGCAGCTGCAACACTCCATCACATCAGGCAGCCACGGAGGGCAGTTTGACGCCCATGAGCCAACGAGCTGCTCGCCCCACGCAACACCCCTCGCAGTGGCAGTGCAAAGCCGCCAGCAGCAGCAGCACTCCATCGCATCAGGCAGCCACGGAGGGCAGTTTGACGCCCATGAGCCAACGAGCTGCCCGCCCCACGCAACACCCCTCGCAGTGGCAGTGCAAAGCCGCCAGCAGAAGCAGCACTCCATCACATCAGGCAGCCACGGAAGGCAGTTTGACGCCCATGAGCCAACGAGCTGCCCGCCCCACGCAACACCCCTCGCAGTGGCAGTGCAAAGCCGCCAGAAGCAGCAGCACTCCATCACATCAGGCAGCCACGGAAGGCAGTTTGACGCCCATGAGCCAACGAGCTGCCCGCCCCACGCAACATCCCTCGCAGTGGCAGTGCAAAGCCGCCAGCAGCAGCACTCCATCACACCAGGCAACCACGGAGAGCAGCTTGACGCCCATGAGCCAACGAGCTGCCCGCCCCACGCAAAACCCCTCGCAGTGGCAGTGCAAGCCGCCAGCAGCAGCAGCACTCCATCACATCAGGCAGCCACGGAGGGCAGTTTGACGCCCATGAGCCAACGAGCTGCCCGCCCCCCGCAACACCCCTCGCAGTGGCGGTGCAAAGCCGCAAGCAGCAGCAGCACTCCATCACATCAGGCAGCCACGGAGGGCAGTTTGACGCCCATGAGCCAACGAGCTGCCCGCCCCATGCAACACCCCTCGCAGTGGAAGTGCAAAGCCTCCAGCAGCAGCAGCACTCCATCACATCAGGCAGCCACGGAGGGCAGTTTGACGCCCATGAGCCAACGAGCTGCCCGCCCCACGCAACACCCCTCGCAGTGGCAGTGCAAAGCCGCAAGCAGCAGCAGCACTCCATCACATCAGGCAGCCACGGAGGGCAGTTTGACGCCCATGAGCCAACGAGCTGCCCGCCCCATGCAACACCCCTCGCAGTGGAAGTGCAAAGCCTCCAGCAGCAGCAGCACTCCATCACATCAGGCAGCCACGGAGGGCAGTTTGACGCCCATGAGCCAACGAGCTGCCCGCCCCATGCAACACCCCTCGCAGTGGCAGTGCAAAGCCGCCAGCAGCAGCAGCACTCCATCACATCAGGCAGCCACGGAGGGCAATTTGACGCCCATGAGCCAACGAGCTGCCCGCCCCACGCAACACCCATCGCAGTGGAAGTGCAAAGCCGCCAGCAGCAGCAGCACTCCATCACATCAGGCAGCCACGGAGGGCAGTTTGACGCCCATGAGCCAACGAGCTGCCCGCCCCACGCAACACCCCTCGCAGTGGCAGTGCAAAGCCGCCAGCAGCAGCAGCACTCCATCACATCAGGCAGCCACGGAGGGCAGTTTGACGCCCATGAGCCAACGAGCTGCCCGCCCCACGCAACACCCCTCGCAGTGGAAGTGCAAAGCCTCCAGCAGCAGCAGCACTCCATCACATCAGGCAGCCACGGAGGGCAGTTTGACGCCCATGAGCCAACGAGCTGCCCGCCCCACGCAACACCCCTCGCAGTGGCAGTGCAAGCCGCCAGCAGCAGCAGCACTCCATCACATCAGGCAGCCACGGAGGGCAGTTTGACGCCCATGAGCCAACGAGCTGCCCGCCCCACCCAACACCCCTCGCAGTGGCAGTGCAAAGCCGCCAGCAGCAGCAGCACTCCATCACATCAGGCAGCCACGGAGGGCAGTTTGACGCCCATGAGCCAACGAGCTGCCCGCCCCACGCAACACCCCTCGCAGTGGAAGTGCAAAGCCTCCAGCAGCAGCAGCACTCCATCACATCAGGCAGCCACGGAGGGCAGTTTGACGCCCATGAGCCAACGAGCTGCCCGCCCCACGCAATACCCCTCGCAGTGGCAGTGCAAAGCCGCCAGCAGCAGCAGCACTCCATCACATCAGGTAGCCACGGAGGGCAGTTTGACGCCCATGAGCCAACGAGCTGCCCGCCCCACGCAACACCCCTCGCAGTGGAAGTGCAAAGCCGCCAGCAGCAGCAGCACTCCATCACATCAGGCAGCCACGGAGGGCAGTTTGACGCCCATGAGCCAACGAGCTGCCCGCCCCATGCAACACCCCTCGCAGTGGAAGTGCAAAGCCTCCAGCAGCAGCAGCACTCCATCACATCAGGCAGCCACGGAGGGCAGTTTGACGCCCATGAGCCAACGAGCTGCCCGCCCCACGCAACACCCCTCGCAGTGGAAGTGCAAAGCCGCCAGCAGCAGCAGCACTCCATCACATCAGGCAGCCACGGAAGGCAGTTTGACGCCCATGAGCCAACGAGCTGCCCACCCCACGCAACACCCCTCGCAGTGGCAGTGCAAGCTGCCAGCAGCAGCAGCACTCCATCACATCAGGCAGCCACGGAGGGCAGTTTGACGCCCATGAGCCAACGAGCTGCCCGCCCCACGCAACACCCCTCGCAGTGGCAGTGCAAAGCCGCCAGCAGCAGCACTCCATCACACCAGGCAACCATGGAGAGCAGCTTGACGCCCATGAGCCAACGAGCTGCCCGCCCCACGCAAAACCCCTCGCAGTGGCAGTGCAAAGCCTCCAGCAGCAGCAGCACTCCATCACATCAGGCAGCCACGGAGGGCAGTTTGACGCCCATGAGCCAACGAGCTGCCCGCCCCACGCAACACCCCTCGCAGTGGCAGTGCAAGCCGCCAGCAGCAGCAGCACTCCATCACATCAGGCAGCCACGGAGGGCAGTTTGACGCCCATGAGCCAACGAGCTGCCCGCCCCATGCAACACCCCTCGCAGTGGAAGTGCAAAGCCTCCAGCAGCAGCAGCACTCCATCACATCAGGCAGCCACGGAGGGCAGTTTCACGCCCATGAGCCAACGAGCTGCCCGCCCCACGCAACACCCCTCGCAGTGGCAGTGCAAAGCCGCCAGCAGCAGCAGCACTCCATCACATCAAGCAGCCACGGAGGGCAGTTTGACGCCCATGAGCCAACGAGCTGCCCGCCCCACGCAACACCCCTCGCAGTGGAAGTGCAAAGCCTCCAGCAGCAGCAGCACTCCATCACATCAGGCAGCCACGGAGGGCAGTTTGACGCCCATGAGCCAACGAGCTGCCCGCCCCACGCAACACCCCTCGCAGTGGAAGTGCAAAGCCGCCAGCAGCAGCAGCACTCCATCACATCAGGCAGCCACGGAAGGCAGTTTGACGCCCATGAGCCAACGAGCTGCCCGCCCCACGCAACACCCCTCGCAGTGGCAGTGCAAGCTGCCAGCAGCAGCAGCACTCCATCACATCAGGCAGCCACGGAGGGCAGTTTGACGCCCATGAGCCAACGAGCTGCCCGCCCCACGCAACACCCCTCGCAGTGGCAGTGCAAAGCCGCCAGCAGCAGCACTCCATCACACCAGGCAAACATGGAGAGCAGCTTGACGCCCATGAGCCAACGAGCTGCCCGCCCCACGGAAAACCCCTCGCAGTGGCAGTGCAAAGCCGCCAGCAGCAGCAGCACTCCATCACATCAGGCAGCCACGGAGGGCAGTTTGACGCCCATGAGCCAACGAGCTGCCCGCCCCACGCAACACCCCTCGCAGTGGCAGTGCAAAGCCGCAAGCAGCAGCAGCACTCCATCACATCAGGCAGCCACGGAGGGCAGTTTGACGCCCATGAGCCAACGAGCTGCCCGCCCCATGCAACACCCCTCGCAGTGGAAGTGCAAAGCCTCGAGCAGCAGCAGCACTCCATCACATCAGGCAGCCACGGAGGGCAGTTTGACGCCCATGAGCCAACGAGCTGCCCGCCCCACGCAACACCCCTCGCAGTGGCAGTGCAAAGCCGCCAGCAGCAGCAGCACTCCATCACATCAGGCAGCCACGGAGGGCAGTTTGATGCCCATGAGCCAACGAGCTGCCCGTCCCACGCAACACCCCTCGCAGTGGAAGTGCAAAGCCTCCAGCAGCAGCAGCACTCCATCACATCAGGCAGCCACGGAGGGCAGTTTGACGCCCATGAGCCAACGAGCTGCCCGCCCCACGCAACACCCCTCGCAGTGGCAGTGCAAAGCCGCCAGCAGCAGCAGCACTCCATCACATCAGGCAGCCACGGAGGGCAGTTTGACGCCCATGAGCCAACGAGCTGCCCGCCCCATGCAACACCCCTCGCAGTGGAAGTGCAAAGCCTCCAGCAGCAGCAGCACTCCATCACATCAGGCAGCCACGGAGGGCAGTTTGACGCCCATGAGCCAACGAGCTGCCCGCCCCACGCAACACCCCTCGCAGTGGCAGTGCAAAGCCTCCAGCAGCAGCAGCACTCCATCACATCAGGCAGCCACGGAGGGCAGTTTGACGCCCATGAGCCAACGAGCTGCCCGCCCCACGCAACACCCCTCGCAGTGGAAGTGCAAAGCCTCCAGCAGCAGCAGCACTCCATCACATCAGGCAGCCACGGAGGGCAGTTTGACGCCCATGAGCCAACGAGCTGCCCGCCCCACGCAACACCCCTCGCAGTGGAAGTGCAAAGCCTCCAGCAGCAGCAGCACTCCATCACATCAGGCAGCCACCGAGGGCAGTTTGACGCCCATGAGCCAACGAGCTGCCCGCCCCATGCAACACCCCTCGCAGTGGCAGTGCAAAGCCGCCAGCAGCAGCAGCACTCGATCACATCAGGCAGCCACGGAGGGCAGTTTGACGCCCATGAGCCAACGAGCTGCCCGCCCCACGCAACACCCCTCGCAGTGGAAGTGCAAAGCCGCCAGCAGCAGCAGCACTCCATCACATCAGGCAGCCACGGAGGGCAGTTTGACGCCCATGAGCCAACGAGCTGCCCGCCCCACGCAACACCCCTCGCAGTGGAAGTGCAAAGCCGCCAGCAGCAGCAGCACTCCATCACATCAGGCAGCCACGGAGGGCAGTTTGACGCCCATGAGCCAACGAGCTGCCCGCCCCACGCAACACCCCTCGCAGTGGCAGTGCAAGCTGCCAGCAGCAGCAGCACTCCATCACACCAGGCAACCACGGAGAGCAGTTTGACGCCCATGAGCCAACGAGCTGCCCGCCCCACGCAACACCCCTCGCAGTGGCAGTGCAAAGCCGCCAGCAGCAGCACTCCATCACACCAGGCAACCACGGAGAGCAGCTTGACGCCCATGAGCCAACGAGCTGCCCGCCCCACGCAAAACCCCTCGCAGTGGCAGTGCAAAGCCGCCAGCAGCAGCACTCCATCACACCAGGCAGCCACGGAGGGCAGTTTGACGCCCATGAGCCAACGAGCTGCCCGCCCCACGCAACACCCCTCGCAGTGGCAGTGCAAGCCGCAAGCAGCAGCAGCACTCCATCACATCAGGCAGCCACGGAGGGCAGTTTGACGCCCATGAGCCAACGAGCTGCCCGCCCCACGCAACACCCCTCGCAGTGGCAGTGCAAAGCCGCAAGCAGCAGCAGCACTCCATCACATCAGGCAGCCACGGAGGGCAGTTTGACGCCCATGAGCCAACGAGCTGCCCGCCCCACGCAACACCCCTCGCAGTGGAAGTGCAAAGCCTCCAGCACCAGCAGCACTCCATCACATCAGGCAGCCATGGAGGGCAGTTTGACGCCCATGAGCCAACGAGCTGCCCGCCCCACGCAACACCCCTCGCAGTGGCAGTGCAAAAGCCGCCAGCAGCAGCAGCACTCCATCACATCAGGTAGCCACGGAGGGCAGTTTGACGCCCATGAGCCAACGAGCTGCCCGCCCCACGCAACACCCCTCGCAGTGGCAGTGCAAAGCCGCCAGCAGCGACAGCACTCCATCACATCAGGCAGCCACGGAGGGCAGTTTCACGCCCATGAGCCAACGAGCTGCCCGCCCCACGCAACACCCCTCGCAGTGGCAGTGCAAAGCCGCCAGCAGCAGCAGCACTCCATCACATCAGGCAGCCACGGAGGGCAGTTTGACGCCCATGAGCCAACGAGCTGCCCGCCCCACGCAACACCCCTCGCAGTGGAAGCAAAGCCTCCAGCAGCAGCAGCACTCCATCACATCAGGCAGCCACGGAGGGCAGTTTGACGCCCATGAGCCAACGAGCTGCCCGCCCCACGCAACACCCCTCGCAGTGGCAGTGCAAAGCCGCTAGTAGCAGCAGCACTCCATCACATCAGGCAGCCACGGAGGGCAGTTTGACGCCCATGAGCCAACGAGCTGCCCGCCCCATGCAACACCCCTCGCAGTGGAAGTGCAAAGCCTCCAGCAGCAGCAGCACTCCATCACATCAGGCAGCCACGGAGGGCAGTTTGACGCCCATGAGCCAACGAGCTGCCCGCCCCACGCAACACCCCTCGCAGTGGCAGTGCAAAGCCGCCAGCAGCAGCAGCACTCCATCACATCAGGCAGCCACGGAGGGCAGTTTGACGCCCATGAGCCAACGAGCTGCCCGCCCCATGCAACACCCCTCGCAGTGGAAGTGCAAAGCCTCCAGCAGCAGCAGCACTCCATCACATCAGGCAGCCACGGAGGGCAGTTTGACGCCCATGAGCCAACGGGCTGCCCGCCCCACGCAACACCCCTCGCAGTGGCAGTGCAAAGCCGCCAGCAGCAGCAGCAGCACTCCATCACATCAGGCAGCCACGGAGGGCAGTTTGACGCCCATGAGCCAACGAGCTGCCCGCCCCACGCAACACCCCTCGCAGTGGCAATGCAAAGCCGCAAGCAGCAGCAGCACTCCATCACATCAGGCAGCCACGGAGGGCAGTTTGACGCCCATGAGCCAACGAGCTGCCCGCCCCATGCAACACCCCTCGCAGTGGAAGTGCAAAGCCTCCAGCAGCAGCAGCACTCCATCACATCAGGCAGCCACGGAGGGCAGTTTGACGCCCATGAGCCAACGAGCTGCCCGCCCCACGCAACACCCCTCGCAGTGGCAGTGCAAAGCCGCAAGCAGCAGCAGCACTCCATCACATCAGGCAGCCACGGAGGGCAGTTTGACGCCCATGAGCCAACGAGCTGCCCGCCCCACGCAACACCCCTCGCAGTGGCAGTGCAAAGCCGCCAGCAGCAGCAGCACTCCATCACATCAGGCAGCCACGGAGGGCAGTTTGACGCCCATGAGCCAACGAGCTGCCCGCCCCACGCAACACCCCTCGCAGTGGAAGTGCAAAGCCTCCAGCAGCAGCAGCACTCCATCACATCAGGCAGCCACGGAGGGCAGTTTGACGCCCATGAGCCAACGAGCTGCCCGCCCCACGCAATACCCCTCGCAGTGGCAGTGCAAAGCCGCCAGCAGCAGCAGCACTCCATCACATCAGGCAGCCACGGAGGGCAGTTTGACGCCCATGAGCCAACGAGCTGCCCGCCCCACGCAACACCCCTCGCAGTGGAAGTGCAAAGCCGCCAGCAGCAGCAGCACTCCATCACATCAGGCAGCCACGGAAGGCAGTTTGACGCCCATGAGCCAACGAGCTGCCCGCCCCACGCAACACCCCTCGCAGTGGCAGTGCAAGCTGCCAGCAGCAGCAGCACTCCATCACATCAGGCAGCCACGGAGGGCAGTTTGACGCCCATGAGCCAACGAGCTGCCCGCCCCATGCAACACCCCTCGCAGTGGAAGTGCAAAGCCTCCAGCAGCAGCAGCACTCCATCACATCAGGCAGCCACGGAGGGCAGTTTGACGCCCATGAGCCAACGGGCTGCCCGCCCCACGCAACACCCCTCGCAGTGGCAGTGCAAAGCCGCCAGCAGCAGCAGCAGCACTCCATCACATCAGGCAGCCACGGAGGGCAGTTTGACGCCCATGAGCCAACGAGCTGCCCGCCCCACGCAACACCCCTCGCAGTGGCAGTGCAAAGCCGCCAGCAGCAGCAGCACTCCATCACATCAGGCAGCCACGGAGGGCAGTTTGACGCCCATGAGCCAACGAGCTGCCCGCCCCATGCAACACCCCTCGCAGTGGAAGTGCAAAGCCTCCAGCAGCAGCAGCACTCCATCACATCAGGCAGCCACGGAGGGCAGTTTGACGCCCATGAGCCAACGAGCTGCCCGCCCCACGCAACACCCCTCGCAGTGGCAGTGCAAAGCCGCCAGCAGCAGCAGCACTCCATCACATCAGGCAGCCACGGAGGGCAGTTTGACGCCCATGAGCCAACGAGCTGCCCGCCCCACGCAACACCCCTCGCAGTGGAAGTGCAAAGCCTCCAGCAGCAGCAGCACTCCATCACATCAGGCAGCCACGGAGGGCAGTTTGACGCCCATGAGCCAACGAGCTGCCCGCCCCACGCAACACCCCTCGCAGTGGAAGTGCAAAGCCGCCAGCAGCAGCAGCACTCCATCACATCAGGCAGCCACGGAGGGCAGTTTGACGCCCATGAGCCAACGAGCTGCCCGCCCCACGCAACACCCCTCGCAGTGGAAGTGCAAAGCCTCCAGCAGCAGCAGCACTCCATCACATCAGGCAGCCACGGAGGGCAGTTTGACGCCCATGAGCCAACGAGCTGCCCGCCCCACGCAATACCCCTCGCAGTGGCAGTGCAAAGCCGCCAGCAGCAGCAGCACTCCATCACATCAGGCAGCCACGGAGGGCAGTTTGACGCCCATGAGCCAACGAGCTGCCCGCCCCACGCAACACCCCTCGCAGTGGAAGTGCAAAGCCGCCAGCAGCAGCAGCACTCCATCACATCAGGCAGCCACGGAAGGCAGTTTGACGCCCATGAGCCAACGAGCTGCCCGCCCCACGCAACACCCCTCGCAGTGGCAGTGCAAGCTGCCAGCAGCAGCAGCACTCCATCACATCAGGCAGCCACGGAGGGCAGTTTGACGCCCATGAGCCAACGAGCTGCCCGCCCCACGCAACACCCCTCGCAGTGGCAGTGCAAAGCCGCCAGCAGCAGCAGCACTCCATCACATCAGGCAGCCACGGAGGGCAGTTTGACGCCCATGAGCCAACGAGCTGCCCGCCCCATGCAACACCCCTCGCAGTGGAAGTGCAAAGCCTCCAGCAGCAGCAGCACTCCATCACATCAGGCAGCCACGGAGGGCAGTTTGACGCCCATGAGCCAACGGGCTGCCCGCCCCACGCAACACCCCTCGCAGTGGCAGTGCAAAGCCGCCAGCAGCAGCAGCAGCACTCCATCACATCAGGCAGCCACGGAGGGCAGTTTGACGCCCATGAGCCAACGAGCTGCCCGCCCCACGCAACACCCCTCGCAGTGGCAATGCAAAGCCGCAAGCAGCAGCAGCACTCCATCACATCAGGCAGCCACGGAGGGCAGTTTGACGCCCATGAGCCAACGAGCTGCCCGCCCCATGCAACACCCCTCGCAGTGGAAGTGCAAAGCCTCCAGCAGCAGCAGCACTCCATCACATCAGGCAGCCACGGAGGGCAGTTTGACGCCCATGAGCCAACGAGCTGCCCGCCCCACGCAACACCCCTCGCAGTGGCAGTGCAAAGCCGCAAGCAGCAGCAGCACTCCATCACATCAGGCAGCCACGGAGGGCAGTTTGACGCCCATGAGCCAATGAGCTGCCCGCCCCACGCAACACCCCTCGCAGTGGCAGTGCAAAGCCGCCAGCAGCAGCAGCACTCCATCACATCAGGCAGCCACGGAGGGCAGTTTGACGCCCATGAGCCAACGAGCTGCCCGCCCCATGCAACACCCCTCGCAGTGGAAGTGCAAAGCCTCCAGCAGCAGCAGCACTCCATCACATCAGGCAGCCACGGAGGGCAGTTTGACGCCCATGAGCCAACGAGCTGCCCGCCCCACGCAACACCCCTCGCAGTGGAAGTGCAAAGCCGCCAGCAGCAGCAGCACTCCATCACATCAGGCAGCCACGGAGGGCAGTTTGACGCCCATGAGCCAACGAGCTGCCCGCCCCACGCAACACCCCTCGCAGTGGAAGTGCAAAGCCTCCAGCAGCAGCAGCACTCCATCACATCAGGCAGCCACGGAGGGCAGTTTGACGCCCATGAGCCAACGAGCTGCCCGCCCCACGCAATACCCCTCGCAGTGGCAGTGCAAAGCCGCCAGCAGCAGCAGCACTCCATCACATCAGGCAGCCACGGAGGGCAGTTTGACGCCCATGAGCCAACGAGCTGCCCGCCCCACGCAACACCCCTCGCAGTGGAAGTGCAAAGCCGCCAGCAGCAGCAGCACTCCATCACATCAGGCAGCCACGGAAGGCAGTTTGACGCCCATGAGCCAACGAGCTGCCCGCCCCACGCAACACCCCTCGCAGTGGCAGTGCAAGCTGCCAGCAGCAGCAGCACTCCATCACATCAGGCAGCCACGGAGGGCAGTTTGACGCCCATGAGCCAACGAGCTGCCCGCCCCACGCAACACCCCTCGCAGTGGCAGTGCAAAGCCGCCAGCAGCAGCACTCCATCACACCAGGCAACCATGGAGAGCAGCTTGACGCCCATGAGCCAACGAGCTGCCCGCCCCACGCAAAACCCCTCGCAGTGGCAGTGCAAAGCCGCCAGCAGCAGCAGCACTCCATCACATCAGGCAGCCACGGAGGGCAGTTTGACGCCCATGAGCCAACGAGCTGCCCGCCCCACGCAACACCCCTCGCAGTGGCAGTGCAAGCCGCCAGCAGCAGCAGCACTCCATCACATCAGGCAGCCACGGGGGGCAGTTTGACGCCCATAAGCCAACGAGCTGCCCGCCCCACGCAACACCCCTCGCAGTGGCAGTGCAAAGCCTCGAGCAGCAGCAGCACTCCATCACATCAGGCAGCCACGGAGGGCAGTTTGACGCCCATGAGCCAACGAGCTGCCCGCCCCATGCAACACCCCTCGCAGTGGAAGTGCAAAGCCTCGAGCAGCAGCAGCACTCCATCACATCAGGCAGCCACGGAGGGCAGTTTGACGCCCATGAGCCAACGAGCTGCCCGCCCCACGCAACACCCCTCGCAGTGGCAGTGCAAAGCCGCCAGCAGCAGCAGCACTCCATCACATCAGGCAGCCACGGAAGGCAGTTTGACGCCCATGAGCCAACGAGCTGCCCGCCCCACGCAACACCCCTCGCAGTGGCAGTGCAAGCTGCCAGCAGCAGCAGCACTCCATCACATCAGGCAGCCACGGAGGGCAGTTTGACGCCCATGAGCCAACGAGCTGCCCGCCCCACGCAACACCCCTCGCAGTGGCAGTGCAAAGCCGCCAGCAGCAGCACTCCATCACACCAGGCAACCATGGAGAGCAGCTTGACGCCCATGAGCCAACGAGCTGCCCGCCCCACGCAAAACCCCTCGCAGTGGCAGTGCAAAGCCGCCAGCAGCAGCAGCACTCCATCACATCAGGCAGCCACGGAGGGCAGTTTGACGCCCATGAGCCAACGAGCTGCCCGCCCCACGCAACACCCCTCGCAGTGGCAGTGCAAGCCGCCAGCAGCAGCAGCACTCCATCACATCAGGCAGCCACGGAGGGCAGTTTGACGCCCATGAGCCAACGAGCTGCCCGCCCCACGCAACACCCCTCGCAGTGGCAGTGCAAAGCCGCCAGCAGCAGCAGCACTCCATCACATCAGGCAGCCACGGAGGGCAGTTTGACGCCCATGAGCCAACGAGCTGCCCGCCCCATGCAACACCCCTCGCAGTGGAAGTGCAAAGCCTCCAGCAGCAGCAGCACTCCATCACATCAGGCAGCCACGGAGGGCAGTTTGACGCCCATGAGCCAACGAGCTGCCCGCCCCACGCAACACCCCTCGCAGTGGCAGTGCAAAGCCGCCAGCAGCAGCAGCACTCCATCACATCAGGCAGCCACGGAGGGCAGTTTGACGCCCATGAGCCAACGAGCTGCCCGCCCCATGCAACACCCCTCGCAGTGGAAGTGCAAAGCCTCCAGCAGCAGCAGCACTCCATCACATCAGGCAGCCACGGAGGGCAGTTTGACGCCCATGAGCCAACGGGCTGCCCGCCCCACGCAACACCCCTCGCAGTGGCAGTGCAAAGCCGCCAGCAGCAGCAGCAGCACTCCATCACATCAGGCAGCCACGGAGGGCAGTTTGACGCCCATGAGCCAACGAGCTGCCCGCCCCACGCAACACCCCTCGCAGTGGAAGTGCAAAGCCGCCAGCAGCAGCAGCACTCCATCACATCATGCAGCCACGGAAGGCAGTTTGACGCCCATGAGCCAACGAGCTGCCCGCCCCACGCAACACCCCTCGCAGTGGCAGTGCAAAGCCTCCAGCAGCAGCAGCACTCCATCACATCAGGCAGCCACGGAGGGCAGTTTGACGCCCATGAGCCAACGAGCTGCCCGCCCCACGCAACACCCCTCGCAGTGGCAGTGCAAAGCCGCCAGCAGCAGCAGCACTCCATCACATCAGGCAGCCACGGAGAGCAGCTTGACGCCCATGAGCCAACGAGCTGCCCGCCCCACGCAACACCCCTCGCAGTGGAAGTGCAAAGCCGCCAGCAGCAGCAGCACTCCATCACATCAGGCAGCCACGGAAGGCAGTTTGACGCCCATGAGCCAACGAGCTGCCCGCCCCACGCAACACCCCTCGCAGTGGCAGTGCAAGCCGCCAGCAGCAGCAGCAGTCCATCACATCAGGCAGCCACGGAGGGCAGTTTGACGCCCATGAGCCAACGAGCTGCCCGCCCCACGCAACACCCCTCGCAGTGGCAGTGCAAAGCCGCCAGCAGCAGCAGCACTCCATCACATCAGGTAGCCACGGAGGGCAGTTTGACGCCCATGAGCCAACGAGCTGCCCGCCCCACGCAACACCCCTCGCAGTGGCAGTGCAAGCCGCCAGCAGCAGCAGCACTCCATCACATCAGGCAGCCACGGAGGGCAGTTTGACGCCCATGAGCCAACGAGCTGCCCGCCCCACGCAACACCCCTCGCAGTGGCAGTGCAAAGCCGCCAGCAGCAGCAGCACTCCATCACATCAGGCAGCCACGGAGGGCAGTTTGACGCCCATGAGCCAACGAGCTGCCCGCCCCACGCAACACCCCTCGCAGTGGCAGTGCAAAGCCGCCAGCAGCAGCAGCACTCCATCACATCAGGCAGCCACGGAGGGCAGTTTGACGCCCATGAGCCAACGAGCTGCCCGCCCCACGCAACACCCCTCGCAGTGGAAGTGCAAAGCCTCCAGCAGCAGCAGCACTCCATCACATCAGGCAGCCACGGAGGGCAGTTTGACGCCCATGAGCCAACGGGCTGCCCGCCCCACGCAACACCCCTCGCAGTGGCAGTGCAAAGCCGCCAGCAGCAGCAGCAGCACTCCATCACATCAGGCAGCCACGGAGGGCAGTTTGACGCCCATGAGCCAACGAGCTGCCCGCCCCACGCAACACCCCTCGCAGTGGAAGTGCAAAGCCGCCAGCAGCAGCAGCACTCCATCACATCAGGCAGCCACGGAAGGCAGTTTGACGCCCATGAGCCAACGAGCTGCCCGCCCCACGCAACACCCCTCGCAGTGGCAGTGCAAAGCCTCCAGCAGCAGCAGCACTCCATCACATCAGGCAGCCACGGAGGGCAGTTTGACGCCCATGAGCCAACGAGCTGCCCGCCCCACGCAACACCCCTCGCAGTGGCAGTGCAAAGCCGCCAGCAGCAGCAGCACTCCATCACATCAGGTAGCCACGGAGGGCAGTTTGACGCCCATGAGCCAACGAGCTGCCCGCCCCACGCAACACCCCTCGCAGTGGCAGTGCAAGCCGCCAGCAGCAGCAGCACTCCATCACATCAGGCAGCCACGGAGGGCAGTTTCACGCCCATGAGCCAACGAGCTGCCCGCCCCACGCAACACCCCTCGCAGTGGCAGTGCAAAGCCGCCAGCAGCAGCAGCACTCCATCACATCAGGCAGCCACGGAGGGCAGTTTGACGCCCATGAGCCAACGAGCTGCCCGCCCCACGCAACACCCCTCGCAGTGGAAGTGCAAAGCCTCCAGCAGCAGCAGCACTCCATCACATCAGGCAGCCACGGAGGGCAGTTTGACGCCCATGAGCCAACGAGCTGCCCGCCCCACGCAACACCCCTCGCAGTGGCAGTGCAAAGCCGCCAGCAGCAGCAGCACTCCATCACATCAGGCAGCCACGGAGGGCAGTTTGACGCCCATGAGCCAACGAGCTGCCCGCCCCATGCAACACCCCTCGCAGTGGAAGTGCAAAGCCTCCAGCAGCAGCAGCACTCCATCACATCAGGCAGCCACGGAGGGCAGTTTGACGCCCATGAGCCAACGAGCTGCCCGCCCCACGCAACACCCCTCGCAGTGGCAGTGCAAAGCCGCCAGCAGCAGCAGCACTCCATCACATCAGGCAGCCACGGAGGGCAGTTTGACGCCCATGAGCCAACGAGCTGCCCGCCCCATGCAACACCCCTTGAAGTGGAAGTGCAAAGCCTCCAGCAGCAGCAGCACTCCATCACATCAGGCAGCCACGGAGGGCAGTTTGACGCCCATGAGCCAACGGGCTGCCCGCCCCACGCAACACCCCTCGCAGTGGCAGTGCAAAGCTGCCAGCAGCAGCAGCAGCACTCCATCACATCAGGCAGCCACGGAGGGCAGTTTGACGCCCATGAGCCAACGAGCTGCCCGCCCCACGCAACACCCCTCGCAGTGGAAGTGCAAAGCCGCCAGCAGCAGCAGCACTCCATCACATCAGGCAGCCACGGAAGGCAGTTTGACGCCCATGAGCCAACGAGCTGCCCGCCCCACGCAACACCCCTCGCAGTGGCAGTGCAAAGCCTCCAGCAGCAGCAGCAGCACTCCATCACATCAGGCAGCCACGGAGGGCAGTTTGACGCCCATGAGCCAATGAGCTGCCCGCCCCACGCAACACCCCTCGCAGTGGCAGTGCAAAGCCGCCAGCAGCAGCAGCACTCCATCACATCAGGCAGCCACGGAGAGCAGCTTGACGCCCATGAGCCAACGAGCTGCCCGCCCCACGCAACACCCCTCGCAGTGGAAGTGCAAAGCCGCCAGCAGCAGCAGCACTCCATCACATCAGGCAGCCACGGAAGGCAGTTTGACGCCCATGAGCCAACGAGCTGCCCGCCCCACGCAACACCCCTCGCAGTGGCAGTGCAAGCCGCCAGCAGCAGCAGCACTCCATCACATCAGGCAACCACGGAGGGCAGTTTGACGCCCATGAGCCAACGAGCTGCCCGCCCCACGCAACACCCCTCGCAGTGGCAGTGCAAAGCCGCCAGCAGCAGCAGCACTCCATCACATCAGGTAGCCACGGAGGGCAGTTTGACGCCCATGAGCCAACGAGCTGCCCGCCCCACGCAACACCCCTCGCAGTGGCAGTGCAAAGCCGCCAGCAGCAGCAGCACTCCATCACATCAGGCAGCCACGGAGGGCAGTTTCACGCCCATGAGCTAACGAGCTGCCCGCCCCACGCAACACCCCTCGCAGTGGCAGTGCAAAGCCGCCAGCAGCAGCAGCACTCCATCACATCAGGCAGCCACGGAGGGCAGTTTGACGCCCATGAGCCAACGAGCTGCCCGCCCCACGCAACACCCCTCGCAGTGGAAGTGCAAAGCCTCCAGCAGCAGCAGCACTCCATCACATCAGGCAGCCACGGAGGGCAGTTTGACGCCCATGAGCCAACGAGCTGCCCGCCCCACGCAACACCCCTCGCAGTGGCAGTGCAAAGCCGCCAGCAGCAGCAGCACTCCATCACATCAGGCAGCCACGGAGGGCAGTTTGACGCCCATGAGCCAACGAGCTGCCCGCCCCATGCAACACCCCTCGCAGTGGAAGTGCAAAGCCGCCAGCAGCAGCAGCACTCCATCACATCAGGCAGCCACGGAGGGCAGTTTGACGCCCATGAGCCAACGAGCTGCCCGCCCCACGCAACACCCCTCGCAGTGGCAGTGCAAGCCGCCAGCAGCAGCAGCACTCCATCACATCAGGCAGCCACGGAGGGCAGTTTGACGCCCATGAGCCAACGAGCTGCCCGCCCCACGCAACACCCCTCGCAGTGGCAGTGCAAAGCCGCCAGCAGCAGCAGCACTCCATCACATCAGGTAGCCACGGAGGGCAGTTTGACGCCCATGAGCCAACGAGCTGCCCGCCCCACGCAACACCCCTCGTAGTGGCAGTGCAAAGCCGCCAGCAGCAGCAGCACTCCATCACATCAGGCAGCCACGGAGGGCAGTTTCACGCCCATGAGCTAACGAGCTGCCCGCCCCACGCAACACCCCTCGCAGTGGCAGTGCAAAGCCGCCAGCAGCAGCAGCACTCCATCACATCAGGCAGCCACGGAGGGCAGTTTGACGCCCATGAGCCAACGAGCTGCCCGCCCCACGCAACACCCCTCGCAGTGGAAGTGCAAAGCCTCCAGCAGCAGCAGCACTCCATCACATCAGGCAGCCACGGAGGGCAGTTTGACGCCCATGAGCCAACGAGCTGCCCGCCCCACGCAACACCCCTCGCAGTGGCAGTGCAAAGCCGCCAGCAGCAGCAGCACTCCATCACATCAGGCAGCCACGGAGGGCAGTTTGACGCCCATGAGCCAACGAGCTGCCCGCCCCACGCAACACCCCTCGCAGTGGAAGTGCAAAGCCGCCAGCAGCAGCAGCACTCCATCACATCAGGCAGCCACGGAGGGCAGTTTGACGCCCATGAGCCAACGAGCTGCCCGCCCCACGCAACACCCCTCGCAGTGGAAGTGCAAAGCCGCCAGCAGCAGCAGCACTCCATCACATCAGGCAGCCACGGAGGGCAGTTTGACGCCCATGAGCCAACGAGCTGCCCGCCCCACGCAACACCCCTCGCAGTGGAAGTGCAAAGCCGCCAGCAGCAGCAGCACTCCATCACATCAGGCAGCCACGGAGGGCAGTTTGACACCCATGAGCCAACGAGCTGCCCGCCCCACGCAACACCCCTCGCAGTGGAAGTGCAAAGCCGCCAGCAGCAGCAGCACTCCATCACATCAGGCAGCCACGGAGGGCAGTTTGACGCCCATGAGCCAACGAGCTGCCCGCCCCACGCAACACCCCTCGCAGTGGCAGTGCAAAGCCGCCAGCAGCAGCAGCACTCCATCACATCAGGCAGCCACGGAGGGCAGTTTCACGCCCATGAGCCAACGAGCTGCCCGCCCCACGCAACACCCCTCGCAGTGGCAGTGCAAAGCCGCCAGCAGCAGCAGCACTCCATCACATCAGGCAGCCACGGAGGGCATTTTCACGCCCATGAGCCAACGAGCTGCCCGCCCCACGCAACACCCCTCGCAGTGGCAGTGCAAAGCCGCCAGCAGCAGCAGCACTCCATCACATCAGGTAGCCACGGAGGGCAGTTTGACGCCCATGAGCCAACGAGCTGCCCGCCCCACGCAACACCCCTCGTAGTGGAAGTGCAAAGCCGCCAGCAGCAGCAGCACTCCATCACATCAGGCAGCCACGGAGGGCAGTTTGACGCCCATGAGCCAACGAGCTGCCCGCCCCACGCAACACCCCTCGCAGTGGCAGTGCAAAGCCGCCAGCAGCAGCAGCACTCCATCACATCAGGCAGCCACGGAGGGCAGTTTGACGCCCATGAGCCAACGAGCTGCCCGCCCCATGCAACACCCCTCGCAGTGGAAGTGCAAAGCCTCCAGCAGCAGCAGCACTCCATCACATCAGGCAGCCACGGAGGGCAATTTGACGCCCATGAGCCAACGAGCTGCCCGCCCCAC